CTGCTCAAACCACTCAACGTAAGAAGCTCAATTTTGGCATACAGGTTGATTCTAGGGTGTAGAGGTTCGATAAGAAGGGATTTTTCGAAATTCCAGTTCCAAGAGGGTGAAACCACCCTTCAAATATTACAATATTTTTTTTATTTAAAAAACGGTCAAGTTTCCGAAAAAACGCTTAAACACGTATATTTTATTTTGTTTTTTTACATATTTTAAGATTTTTTAAAAATGTATACAGGGTGTTTCGAAAAACCTGGTAATTGATTAATCACGATCCTGCTTAAAGTGCTTGACGTAAAAAGCTGATTTTTGGAAAACAGATTGACTTTAGGGTGTAAAGGTTCGACAAGAAGGGATTTTTCGAAACTCGAATTCTAAGGGGGTGAAACTATCCCTCAAATATTAAATATTTTTTATTTAAAACCGCTGAGTTTTTCGGAAAAAACTCTTAAACACGTATATTTTATTTTGTTGTTTTACATATTTTAAGATTTTTTATAAATTTATACAGGGTGTTTCATAAAATATGACCATTGAGTAATCACGATTCTGCTTAAACTGCTTGACGTTTAAAGCTGATTTTTGGCAAACGTTTTTGGAAAAAGTTTGTATGTTAATGGATATTTTCTTGCTTTGCTTTATCATCACCATTACAAATGATTAATTCGACGCGAACGAAGTCGCTGTTACACGCTAGTTATGTATATATTTATCAATATAACTTATGTACAAATACAAATTTGTAGTATTCCACAGGAATAAATAAAAAAACTATTCTATTAATAATAACCAAACTTTATACCCTAAAAGTTGATTAATACTTTAATCTTAATTTATTTAAACCAGTACCCTTTGATATTATTTTTCTACAGTACGAAAATCCATTATTTACCTATCGTGTGATGTCGATATTTTACAGCTACTCCAGTTTTTAGTATACGTTTAGTACGATCCTTGTACCATATATGAGGTGTACTTATCTACGATGAGATGGTATACAAACTTTATTGATGGCCCTTTCTGTCTGGGCAGCGAGTATTAACTATAAACCGTGTTCTGAGTCTACATTTAATTTTCCATCGATTTTTCCTCCACTTGACTTCAAAAGACACAAAATACGAGAATCAAAATGCATGCATCTTCCAAAACGCAGGGTATTTGACATAAGTTGACATATAATTATAAGCTATAATGGCAAGACTTTGACAAGCCTCAAAAATCTAAAGGCGAGTTCATACGCATCGGCGTAACTGGTTAAAAACTGGTTAATAACAGTAAGAGTTAATCTTTGAATAAGAAGACTAAGGAAGGAGCATAATGCTATCCATGTATTCATGCATGGTGGGCGGAAAAAGCGCCATAAAAGCACTCTAGGGTGGGGATCCTTGACAGTTCTGTTTGCCGATTCATTTGACACATTTGAATTTGATTTGAAATTTTGTGGATTTGTCAGTCTTTACGGAGCTTATTTTATGTTATTTATTATTTATTCTACTACTGATAGTAGTACAAAGGTACTAAATCTTGATGGAAATTGTGCCAAAACTTAAATTAACAGTGACAGTATCGCGATTTATCGAAAAAGACTCTAAAATAGTTGGTTGTGTAGCGTGCGCTAGATCTCGGCAAAAATCGAGTGAAATAATGGAACAACTTTCGCTAGTAAGTGACTATATAATATACATACGTGTAGTAAACCGATCATTTATGAAATTCACTTAAATTAACTAAATTATATATTTTTCTTGCATTTTAGCTTTTATTTATTACTTGTCAAAGATTAGATGTCAAAGAATTTAGATACGTTAATTTGACTTACCTGCTTCAGTAGCGTATCGGATGTTTGTTGTAATAAATACTTATTATAACTTATCTATTTTTATTAGAATTATATATTTTTTATAACAATTTTAATAACTACCAACATTTATTCACAACGTAAAATAAAACAACAAATTATTCAGTCTACCCCACGTCTACCCTACATCATAGTTTTACATTTTTTAAATAAAATTAGAACGACACTGATAAACCGGAATTTAAGTCGGCCATATTTGAGTCCCATCGCGGTGTACCTAAGATTTTTGATATGCTCCTTCCTTAGTCTTCTTATTCAAAGGAGTTAATAATCCATAGATAACGTAAAAAATATTAGAAACATTTTTTAGTAAAATAAACAGATTGGTATGGACGTCATTTGCTTTTCTTTTGACATCGTATGTCGAAATCTTACTTGAGAAAAAAAACACAGAGTATAACAGGTGTTTTGTTGATGGTTGACCAATAATGGAAATTAAAAAAAAATACGAAATACAGAAAAATAAAGTTAAACATTTAAGAAATTAGCGTCTTGATGCGCTCTTACCGAAATATATATAAACTTTTTATTGCTCGGTAGCTATGTGTGGTCCGCCATGATAATGCGGCCGCTAATTGGCGTTTTTAAAATGAAAGTTTTTGGTGTTTACACAACGATTCACGGTGCGGACGGGCCTTTCATGCCGAGGCGGCGAAAGCAAACACAAACTAAGCGAGATGAGCGTAGATTTATTTTGAAAGAAGAAAAAAAACGATGCTTTTTTAGGAACGGAATTATTGTCTGTTTGGATGTGTCGGTGACTATAAAAAGACTCCAACAATCTACCATAAAAAGGGGCTATACACACATTTAAAGCGACTCTTAAGCGCAGTTCAGACGCAACAACTTATCGTACGATTTGCTTGTGCTGCAGATAAAACGTAGCTTGTGGACAGCTAGTTCCTTCTACTCTGAGTGCCAGCCCATTAAGGGATAGAAGGTAATGAAAAAGTACGACCTAACTAGAAAAGTAGTCCACTATAGTGAGATGTTTGGACTGCATCTCAATGTCTCCAAGACCAAACTATTGCTCTTTTCTAAGACTCCAATAAAAACACACCTGCGTGTCAAGGGACAAACAATCGAACAAGTGACCTCAATAAAGTATTTAGGAACTAACATCAATAGTCAGTGCTACCCGAAAAGAGAAATATATTCAAGAATTGAGCAAGCGAGAAAAATCTTCTTGAGTATGAAATCATTTTTTACAAGACGAGACCTCAGTGCGAAACTCAGATCTCAAATGGCCAGGTGCTACGTCTTCTCTGTGTGATTCTATGGATGTGAGAGCTGGACACTGGATTCACAGACCGAAAAGAGAATAGAAGCCTTCGAAATGTATGTGTACAGACGGATGCTTCGAATCTCATGGGTACAAAGGATCACCAACGATGAAGTACTCCAGTGCATGCAGAAACAAAAAGAGAAACTGAACACCATCAAGGAAAGAAAAATGCAATACTTGGGTCATGCGATGAGAGGTGGTAGATACGAAATACTGCGCCTCATAATAGAGGGCAAAGTACAAGGGAAAAGATCAGTAGGAAGACGCCAGAACTCATGGCTAAAAGATTCAAGGAGATGGTTTGAACGCTCGTCTGCGGAAATCTTCCGGGCTGCAGTTTCCAGAGCCACAATTGCCATTTGGATCGCCAACCTTCGGCAAGAGAGGGCGTGATAAGAAGAAGAACTAGAAAAGGAGCGAACACTCCACTAACTGGACCAGAACCGTTCTGCTTCTCAAGCAAAAACCAACTTAATGCGCAACTCTTAAAACCTGGAATGGGAATCCCCCAACGGTCTAAGACACCCGAAGAAATTTCTTAGGACTTACGACCGAGTAAGTGCCAGCGAGAACTTAAACCAAGTGTAATCGTCACGGCACTTCATAGAATTGTATCAATTGACTTAATCACCATTAAATCTTGGTGCGATTCGAACCTCCTGAGTCTCAACATTTCTAAAACTAAAGGTTTGTCGTATAAAAACTCGCTGCAGCCTTTTGTACTTAACAACACCACCATTGACGTCGTAAAATCTGTAAAATTCTTATTAGGGCTTGTTGTAGACAATTCTCTGAAATGGGAAATGCTTATCGAGGCTTTGTCGAAAAAATTAAGCTCTGCCTGTTTTGCATTATGATCTGTTTCTAAGGAGCTTAACTTGTCAGTGGCTAGAACTGTTTATTATGCACTTTTTGAGTCGCAACTCAGATATGCCCTTCCATTCTGGGGTAGATACGTGTTGTGCGACTCAATTTGACGGCATTTTCAAGCTCCAGAAGAGAGCTGTTCGGTATTCACTGGGACTAAACAGCAGAACTCATTGCCAGGACTTTTTTAAAAAATTAAAAATATTAACTCTTCCTTCCTTATATATATTTGAATCCGTATGCCTAATACGTAAGCATGTATCAGTTTCTCAAGAAAGGCCATCTTACACTTATCCACTCAGGAACGCGGAGCAAGATCTTTATCTACCTACCCCACGCTCAGAGTTAGTTAAAAGTTCAATATTATACAACTCGAACAAAAATGCACAATCACTTACCATTTGAAATCAAATCCATAACATAATTTTCTTCATTTCGCAAAGCATTGAACTCTTATTTACTAGACAAGGCTTTCTACGCCTTAAATGACTTATGTTTTGATAATCGAATTTGATCTTGTAAACACTGGTCTAATGTTTGCTATTACTATATTTACCAGTGACATCGAGGTAAATTTATCTAGAGGTCATTGATATTTAGTATAAACTTACTAAATATTTTTGAATATTATTTTTATTTTTTTATTCTTTGACATTGTAAACATTTACAAATGTTTATTTTAAACAATAAGACTGACAATGTAATTTGTATACTTGTTTTGTATTCTCTTTTGGTTGTTTACTTTACCTTTGTCTACAAATTGTAAAATTTTTTGACAATAAAGGCATTTATTTACTTGTTCAAGTTACTTGGTCTGAGTTGTCATCCAAGTACACTTGTACCGTATAAACTAGGGTTTCCGGAACCGGAGCTGCTTTTCGGAACCGGGATGATGTCTCAAAAGAACCGGGAATTCCCGTTACTTTTGTTACCGGGATTTTCCAGAGTATAAACCAGGCTTAAAAAACAACATAAAAAAACAGTACTCACCACTCATACACCCCAACTCCGTCGAATTACTGCTATGGTTATTGTTACTCAAACTAGTGTTGTTATTGCTCTCCTGCGCGCCTGCGTGCGGCGTTCCCGGACCCGAGGCACTCCCACCCTTCTGGCCCTCGATGACGTCGTGGTCTTCCTTGCAGTAGAGGGCGCCACCTTCCCTCAGAGCGAATTCGTCGCCGGGGCAAAGTTGGCGCGCACAGTGGCAACACCGGAAACAGTCGATGTGGTAGATTTTGCTCTTGGCGCGCATCACGAAGTCGTTCTTGCTGAAGGAACTGCCGCACTTGTCGCATTTCGTACCGAATAATCTGAAACAAAGAATAAAGTTGTTCAATTACGTTAATTTTTTTAAATAAATTATCCTCTTAGAGTAGATAAATCACCACGATCTTACAGATCTATTGTGTCCACCCTTTCTTGAATTATAACTCACCATACAGTCTCAGGGCTTTGTCAAAGGCCAGTATTTGAGACGGTTTCACAGATGTTAGTTCTCCATCTCAGATATCAGTCGTACCAAAGTTTATCGAAAAAATGGTTGCCGGCTCGGCGCACTTATTGATGAGAAGAATTTTTTTTATAGATATTTCTTCGAGTGTGTTAGACTGTTGGAAAATTCCCATTCCAGGCTTCCAGACTTCCTGAGTTCAGCTTTAAGTTGGTTTCCACTTGGGAAGCTGTATAATTTGCTATAAATATGTCTCTATTTCCAGAGACGCACTTAAAATACGATCTTCTGTTCTGCTCCTATAGTACTTTCCAAAAATCGTTTTATCAAATGTTGAAGATGTTTTTTCCGGCAGTTGTTCTCTATCTTCTTCATCTACATCGTTTTCTAGCTGTACAGTTTAACCGGTGTGCGCAATTATATCCTCTTCAGTAGGTATATTTGTTATTGCAAGTTCATAATCTACATCGACGAAAGCGTCTACTATACAGGGTGCTACAAATTCGGGGTACGAGCATTGGAATCTCGGTAACCGTATTAGATACGAACATGGTTAAATCAGGGCAAAGTTGCGCTTTGGGATGTTCACCAAGATGCCACCAAAAAAGTTTTCAAAATTTCAAGGTTTGCAGAGTTTTTTTGGAAAAAATGGATTTTTTTGAAAATCAATTTTATTTTTTCCTGCCGTTAATTTTTAGAAAATCAAAAAACTAATTGCACATTCTCTATTAGTCACTTAATTAGGGCTACCTGATAGTATTTTTAGATTTTCAAATTAGCTGATAATTTGTGAGATACAGAGGCAAATTTATTTATTTTAAATACGGACCTGCATTTTTTATTTCAGGTTTTGAAAGAACTCGGTCTCCTTAGTACAATGCTATGACACACTTAATATTTTTTTTTGTTTCGGATACATCTACATCTACTACGGTTTCCGAGATACCAATGCTCGTATCCCGAATTAGAGGTGTGTAGTTCGTGAACGAACTAGTTCCAATGAACTATTCCGACCCCAGAATGATAGGAACCAGTTTCCGGTTTCTCAAAGAACTAGTTCCTCAAGACCTATTCCGAGACTGTGAGGAATATAGGTATAATACTATACGACGGTGATTACGATGCTAGGCAGGAGTGGGGAGTGCCAGCCGTATGTAATCGGATCCGGACCTAAAGGAACTAGAGGAAATAAATAAGACTGGTTTACGTACGGATCGGTCAGCGCGATCGATGCTAGGCAGGAGTAGGTAATGCCAGCCGTATATTATCGGATCCGGACCTAGAGGAACTAATCAAAAGACTAGTTCACGGGAATTTATTCATTCGGCAGATCCGAGATATAATACAAGGCAACGACGATGGATTCGGCCTTGTCTATTGCCGCAGCCGCAGCCGGCGTAATTACCACAGAAAATTGTCGTGGATACTGTTTTTGATTTCTAGTTTGTTCTTTGAATATTTTATGGGAATGTTTCATTTACCTACCAAGGAACTAGAATTCCCACCTCTACCCCGAATTTGTAGCACCTTGTGTACTGGCATGGAATTTTTCCAAGGTAAAATTATTTTTGATTAACCAAAAATTTAGTCGCAACTTGTTCGCATCTTCCTCATATTGATATTTTCTTAATTTTAATTGTATTTTTGAATGACTTTGTGAATGATCAAGCTTTTTGAATCAGAACTTATAATATTAAACAACAAATTCATTTCTCAGGTGGTCTAAACCAGGTGTTTATTACCATCCTAAAGAAAAACAAACGCATCGTTTGACGAGAAAAAAAAACAAGGAAAAACAAATCGCATATAAACACACAGAGGAAAACACAAAAGGAAAAACATTAGAGTTTAAATCAACATAACCCGATAGCGGTGCTGAGGCGGACCCCACACGCAAAAACGTCCATGTGCAAGTCTTTCTCTAAATTAGTTCTCCGGTGACAGTTGCCTAACGTGTGACATGTGACGCGTCACGTTTTGATATGCCGGTTCCGCACTGTTGGCTCGTTTTTCTATTATTTTTTCCCTGTGAATGATATCGGTTGTCTATAAAAATATTATTAATATTATTGCATATACAGGGTGTCTCAGATTTTAATCGGGAAAATTTAATAGACGATAGAACATGCAAAAATTAAACAAAAAGTTCATATCAACTTGTAAGATTTAAAGCTTCCTTTTCGAGATACAGGGTACCATTAGAATACCAATTATAATATTAATTACCAATTAGAATTTATTTTTTTTCGCAAGAAGTAAGCAAGATAGACAAAAAAGTCTGGAGGCAGAAAAATAATATTTTTAATTACTAAATCCAAAAATAATATTTAACTTCTAAAAAAGCAGTGGCGTGCCCATTTTTTCCTTTAAAATAATTTAACAGTGATGCCCCACCGCCGCCCCTGGCCAGTAAACTTAAATCTAATTACATCAAATTAAGTCCCATAGTAAGTATTATAAACGGGTCAAGTTATATCCAAATCGATTAAATAGCTTTTAAATATCTTAATTTTTTTTTCTTTTTTAAGTAACTTTAACACCCTGTATCTCGAAAAGGAAGCTTTAAATCTTACAACTCTTCAAACCAGTTAAAAAATATATAGGTGGCGCCCAAAGTAGAAGTCATATTGACATCAAAATCAAATTTCTCATGTCAAAAACTACCAGACACCAATTTTTACCCAAATATTGACGTTACTTCAGAAATTATTTGGAAAAAATCGAAATAAAAATGAAACTTCTACACCCTCTATCTCCGAAAGTAAGCATTTTAGGACATACATTTATGCAAACTTTTTTACTTATTTTTATCTGCAGAATATGCTGCCGAAGTTTCCGGAATATAGTTCGGACCATCCTGTATATTAATATATGTAACAGAAAACAGTTATTAAGTCATGTGCAACTGTATGACTGATAATAACACAAAATCTAAATGATATTCCTATGATTTGGTTATTTTCCTCTAATAATAATGATATTCCACATTAATAACTACAGGTATAGGTACTTACTTGACGTAATCTCTTTTACAGTACGTTTTGCCGTCTCTCACGAAACACGTACAACTCTCGTCGAGGAACATGTGACACTCTTGACATTTCAGACAGGCCGCGTGCCATTCAAGGTCGGGAGCCACCCTGAGAATGTATTGGTCGTGGATTTGGCCACCGCAGCCCACGCAGTGGCTCAATCTACGCGACTTTTCTGAAAAAAAAACGAAAAAAGTTAGTAGTTAGTTTTTACAGATAAAAAACTGGAGAACGCCGACAGAGATACCGCCTAATTCCTTTTTAACTAGAGGCGGATTTGATCTATTTTAACAGTTTAATTATTTTTTACAAATTGGCTAAATTATACCGCCGGCGATATAGAAAATTGACGAAAGAAAGACCGCCATTAGACGGTTTTACCTATTTGTTAACATGAATACCGCTAAATACATAAAGAATACCGCCGGTATATTTTTTTAAAAACAGAAATACCGCCTTTATTTTAGCAAATTTTATGTGTTATTGTTATTCTTACATATTTATTAACATGAATTATAAATAATATAAAGGATACCGCCGGTATATTTTAAAAAATAAAAATACCGCCCTTATTTTAGAAAATTTTATGTATTACTGTTATTCCAAACGTAAGTTCCGTGATTAGGTACTGTTGTCAAAATAAAACTATATTTTATTGCATAAAAAAATAAACATTTTTGACATGTTAAATGCAAAATAACAAATCAACGAACATTAAAGTTAAGTTAGAATTAATGCCTAGTTATAGCTCTAGCAATCAAAATTTTGATTGCTTTGGTTTCATTCTTTTTTTTTCGTTTTTCTCGGTGCAGTATTTGATGTTTAAATGACAGTATGCCGCCTACAGGTTCAATTCATACCGCCGTCCATCAGTATTTACAGATATAGAAATATTATACCGCCGATTGACGGTATTTTTCATATACCCTAAAAATACCGCCGACGGTTGTTTAGCCAGTGTGTTTTTTAAATCGTTTCCATCAAAAAAATACAAGAAATATTTCCCAATTGATTTTTCTGCCAATATGCCGCCGTTGGGCGGCATTATTTATCTACCAGGTTAAGTTCATACCGCCGTCAACGACAAATTAATTCAATTTTCCACCAATATTTATAGGTATAAAAATATTATACCGCTGGTTGACGGTATTTTCTTGTATACTTACATTAACAATACCGCCGGCGGTTATTTAACCAGTGTGTTTTTTTAAATCGTTTCCATAAAAGAAAGACGAGAAAAATATTCCCCAATTGATTTTTCTGACAATATGCCGCCGTTGGATGGCATTATTTATCTACCAGGTACAAATTAATTCAATTTTCTATCGGCATTTACAGATATAAAAATATTATACCGCCGGTTGACGGTATTTTTTTTGTATACATCAACAATACCGCCGGCGGTTTTTTAGCCAGTGTCTTTTTTAAATCGTTTCCATCAAAAAAAGACGGGAAATATTTCCGAATTGATTTTTCTGAAACTATCGAACAAAAATAAACCGTCGAGTGAACTTTTTAGTAACTGGCGACTTCTGACATCAACACAGCGACACATGTTTAGAAATAATATTTATCCGGCCATCAGTCATCGAGGAAAGTGAATTAAGCTAAAAGCCGCTGGCGCTAAGCAAAATAAACCGAGGAAATTTATAGTGTTTTAGATCTCCTCGTTTTCCCGATCTATATTTGTTGGTTTGTTTGGATCGGTCTAATTGAACGCTGACTTTAATGCGCCTGATTAAAGGGTGCGATGAGTTCCTATGTAAAAACACGTAATAAACAAAATGAAAATGCTTTTACTAGTTCTATTTTTAGGATTCGGTACCGCAAAAGAAAAAAAACGGAACCCTAAAGGTGTACGCGCACTGAATCGGTACCAGTCCGGCGAGAAACGGCGAAGGCGGTGACTCGACTATCGTAGATAGGTAGAGGTAGGAATCTGGCCTCTACAGGCCGAAATGTTTTAAGGTGTACGCGCACTGAATCGGTACCAGTCCGGCGAGAAACGGCGAAAGCGGTGACTCGACTATCGTAGATAGGTAGAGGTAGGAATCTGGCCTCTACAGGCCGAAATGTTTTAGTGGACGCCGGCGCCGTCTATATGTACGATGGTCGCAGTCGCTTTTGCTGATATAAAAATAGTTAACCGCCGGTTGAATGACTTTTTTGTATACATCAACAATACCGCCGGCGGTTTTTAGCCAATGTCTTTTTTAAATCGTTTTCCATCAAAATGACGTATGGAAATAAGCCCAATTGATTTTTCTGAAACTATCGAACAAAAATAAACCGTCGACATTGCGACCATCGTAGACTGGCGACCGACATCAACTCAAAACCGACATCATGTTTGAAATAATATTTCACGGCCATCAGTCATCGAGGAAAGTGAATTTATTAAAGTCGCCCTTTAAGCAAAGTCGCCGGACTGGTACCGTTTTAGATTGCTCGTTTCCCAGAAATCTTAATTCTGTTGGTTTGTTTGGATCGGCTAATTGAACGCGACTTTAATTTTCAGTTAAACGGTGCGATGAGTTCCTATGCGAAAACACGTAATAAACAAAATGAAAATGCTTTTACTAGTTCTATTTTTAGAATTCGGTACCGCAAAAGGAAAAAACGGAACCCTTATAGGATCACTTTGTAGTCCAAACGTTAGGTTAGGTTAGGGCTTGGGAAATGACTACAGTTTTTGATTTTTAAATGGCACCCTCGGTATCTTTTTAGCACTCTGAATAGAATGGTTTATTTGAAATAATGGGCTCCTTCACAAAAAATTATATACCCAATTCAAGGATAAAATCTGAAATAGAACACTATTTTCAGATGAATTTATTAAAAAAATAGTTCCATGACACCATATCACTTCCAATATAGGTTTTTCATAAAATTTTGAAATAACGTAAGCCTATATTGATTACTACTATTAAAAATACGCGAACATTAGAACCGTTTTCCGATTAAACAACTGGCAACATTGACGATTTCCTTGACCAGCATCTGCACATTACTCAAGGCCAATCAACATCAAATATCTTTCAAAAAACTTATCATATATGGCGACGATTTTGGTTTGCATTGACGTTACCTTTAACAACAGCTTTAACCTGTCAAGCGATGGTAGTATGTTGATCGGTCCACGTTGAAAAGGTACAAAGAAATAAAAAATTATCTATGTTTGTAAAATATTTCTGCAACACAGTTTGTTTAAAGAGATAGTGTTCACTCCGTGCAGTGGTTGATGGGAAATGATTGTGATAAAATAACAGTGTAAATAAAATCCAAAGGACATTCCATCTATAGGAACTTCAAACTTTTCTGCTTGTGGCGTACTGCCTAAAATATTGGAAGAATTGTTATTTTAAAGGTAAGAACTAATCAAGATATTACACCTAAATGAGTAAAAAGCCTTCACCGCCAGTCTGCATAGTACTTTATAATGGTTACTTACAATAATCAAAAAGATAGGTATAAAAGGGTAGGTATTAACATTTTATTGTAGCATACCTTTTACATGCTCTGTTCCAAATTGTCACGGGAATTATAGAGGGGGGTCCCAAGGTTTCTTTTATATTCCTCAAAAATTACGACCTTCGTAAAAAATGGTTGACAGCTATTGAAAGAATAATTCACTCCTACTTAGTGGTTCTCGGGTAAGAGTGCATTAAATATGCCTCAAAAAGGCCAAAGGCCAAAGCATCTGTTACCCTAGTGAGGATGTAGTTATGGCTACTGCTTACACTTACCTTACTATAAGTAAAATATTGGGAGAATAGTCAAGCTTTTTACATCCAAAAGGTCACAGAAAGATATTGACAACGACCTTCACATTTGAAAATATAAATGGCCTGGATGTAAGTCTTTTTTAGGTTGCACAATTGCCCCTCACATACGTCAGAATTTATTATTAAATCCATCTTGTTCAGATTATAAAATTTTATTGAAAGAACTATGCAAAAAAGGAATGACGTTTAATAAAAGGTATTTAGTTTTTTTTTATATAAAATCTTTAAACACATATTATATTTTTTAGCAATCCTTACCTATTATAGTTTAAATGTATATATAATTTTTGTAATGCTACCAAAACGTAGAAAAAGAAATATACGTATATTATAGATTCTGAAGAAGTGTAGTTTAAAATGGTCGAAACGTCAATCATTAAACAAAATTTACTAAGACAAGTTTCGTTCCTATACTGTCTGGATTTAATAGTAAAGATTTTCAAACGTGCAAAATAAAAACTATATAAAAAATGTTTGTAATTGAATATTTAGATTATAAAACTAAAATAGTTATTCCCATTTGTGTAATGCTGCTTAAAACATAGAAAAAAATATTCCATATTTTGACCCAAGCCAGTGTAGTTTATAATTCAAGAGCATTTACCAAGGCTTTTACTAAGACAAGTAACTTCCTATACTGTCCATAATAGTATATATTTATCAAACGTGCAGTAAATTCTAAACTATGGTAGGTAAAGTGTTTGCAATTGAATATTTAGTTTATATTGCTATTTTCTGTTATATATTTCATATCTAGCTTTCTTTTTCAGATGATTTTAACACCCTTTATATATGCTACCTCAAGTTTGAATATTTACACACTAGTACACTACCTACCTATTTTCTGAGAAAGCAGACCTTTTTAGAAAAAAGTAACTAACTGATGTTTTCATAAAAGTAATAATACAAAAATTTCCATACTTATGTGGGAGAAATTAAACTCTGTATATTATAAAATTAGTGAAATATTACTTTATAACTAACCCGACATTTGTGTGAAAAATGTCTATTTGGAAATAAAACAGGTTTTAAAATACGCGCCAAATAAATGCACTTCTAACTCCGCCATATTGGAAAAGGTTGAATAGCCTTGTGTGGTGGGGCAGCATCGGTGACCCGCCGTGTTGCCGCTTTTCAACATGCCAGGTGTGACGTATTAAAAATAAAGTGCGGATTTTTATAGGATCACTTTGTTGTCCAAACGTTAGGTTAGGTTAGGGCTTGGGGAAATGTATTCCGGCTTTTTTGTTTTTATATATTTTCTTAAGAACGACTTCAAATTTTTCGAAAGTGAGATAGCAGAAAATTCTAGAATTAATTGCTTTATTCAATTATGCTAATTCCAAAATATAGTGAAAGACCCCATTGTAACCTGCGGTTCATGCATAAC